TCTCTCTCTCTCTCTCTCTCTCTCTCTCTCTCTCTCTCTCTCTCTCTCTCTCTCTCTCTCTCTCACGAGAATGAATCTTCCTCTTTATCGAGGAAAATTCATTCTCATTGGAAAGGTCTGATTTGTTTTTGTTTTTTTGTTTTTTTTTTGCAGAATGTTGCATGTTTTTTTTTTTTTTTTCGTTGTGTGGTCGGCAATAAAGTCCGAGGCTCGGGAATGACGGGGCTACCGGTAGCCTGAGCCACAGGCCTTAACAACCGGTAGGTACTGGTGGTTTAAGGCTTGTGCTGAGTTTCACTAGGAATGAGGTTTCAGGACAGCAGTCTAGGGTTGGCTATTTCTGTGCTTAGATATTCTTCATTCCTGCTTTCAGGGTTGAATTGTGAGGTCCCTTTGTTGAGCTATTATGAAACGCCCTACACCGGCTACTTGATTAAAAAAAATAAAAAAGTTCCCACCTTTGGCAGCTGGAGCACACCGTAGCAAGGCGGACATCACCCAATGGACCAAGGCATTGCCCCCCAGGGGCCTGACTATAATATTGTGAAAATGGCCGCTGGCGACCGAAAGGAATCATCCTTGGGAGATCACCCCAAGGGGGCTGGAACGACAGTGGGAATTTCCTTTCTTTTTTTTCTTTTTTTTTTACCTTCAAAACCCCCAAGGAAACTTCCTTGGGCCCCCGAAGGTCGGAATTTCCTTCAAACCCTTCAAGGAAACTTCCTTGGGCCCCGAGGACGCCCCAAGAGGTGTCTAACGAGCCCCTCATTCTCATTGTGCACATTTGGAGAGTAGTGGAACGAGGCCCCAAACCTACCCGAGTGGGTGCATCCTGCATTGGCGCTACACTCTCTCTCTCCCCCCCTCTCTGTCTCTCTCTCGCGCGCGCACACGCGACCTACCGTACACGTGTTGCGACGTCCTACGTCCTACGTGCATTGTTGCTGGCGACGTAGATCTGAGCTACGTGAGGGAGCTTGCTGGTGCTATGTGAACTTCGACGTGGCTTACTGCAACGTGATTTTGAGGCATTTGTCGACTTTTGTGGACCGTGGCCGTGGTCGAAGGATTGCCCGTCGTTGTCGGCTGGAGGCTGGAGGCTTCTTCGGCATGACTGACTCAAGTAAGTCTCCATTTCTCTGGCCTCCTACCCATCCCACCCCTCTCCTTCTTCCTTCCGCCTGACGTCCTTCCTCCCTCCTCCCTTGGCCCTCGGCCATCCCCCCTTGCTCCTTCTTCCCTCAGCCCTTCCTCGTCGTTCGGCCCTTCCTCCTCCCTCGGCCATCCCTCCCCCCTCCCTCCTTCCTCCCTTGGCCCTTCCTCCTCCACTCTCCCTTCCCTGTCCCTCCTTCCTCACATGGCCCTTCCTCCTCCCTCCTCCCTCCCTCCCTCCTTCCTCCCTTAGCCCCCTGCCCTCCCTCCCTCCATTCTCCTTTCTCCGCGCCCGACGTCTTTGTCCCAATTGACGTAAACGCCGCATCTCGTATTTCGACGAGGGAGCGTGCGAGAGAGAGAGAAAGAAAAAAAGAAAGAAAGAAAGAAAGAAAAAAAGAAGGAAAAAAAAAAAAAGAAAGAGAGAGAGAGAGAGAGAGAGAGAGAGAGAGAGAGAGAGAGAGAGAGAGAGAGAGAGAGAGAGAGAGAGAATGCGTTTCTTCTCGCGAAAATGAATCTAAGAAAGAGATGACGGACGTGTAGAAGGGGGAATGGGAGAAGCTAGGGAGGGGGGGGACACACAGGCACGCACAGACACACACACACACACACACACAGAGAGAGAGAGAGAGAGAGAGAGAGAGAGAGAGAGAGAGAGAGAGAGA